ACCTCGGCGGATATACACGGTATCAGTCTATTTGGTGTCATGCGAAACGTCCTCAGTTGGTGTATTCGATAGTGGACGATCACTTGCTCTAACAAGTGACCCAACATTTAGCGCCTAACCTCGGCTTTTCTGGCCCACTGTTCCCAGCAGACTCGTACAATGCTGCGTAGGTATCGGTGTTCGAAAATCGGCAATCTACTCTGTATTCGTGATAATGAAGTCTCGATCGTTAATCAGAACTGGCGCATCATACACTGAACCCTTCATGAGCAGCCGAATATCAAGCCCACTCAAGAAGTGGCCTTATACACCCCGATAGTAACGTCACAGGACCAAGGGGGCTTACCATTAGTTTAGCATAGCGTTTCATATAGATTTTCTGCAACGGGCTCGTGGTTTGTGAAAAAGTTGGCGAAATGCGGGAAATTGAGCACCTGTATGCCTCAGTGTGTGGCCTTATAACTGGAACGGATGGATGAATAAGAAAGACACTGACTAAGGTCAGGATAAAAGGTTTTTGGAACAATCAGATAAAACGTTGGAGTGTTTTACAAACCTCAGGGTGGATTGCCACCACATTTTGTGGCAGGTGCTCCAGTGGTGTAGGGCTATACACCGACAGAAACTCGAGGGATCGGCGAATGCGTCTGAGGTCCTTGTTAAAAAAGCCGGGTAAATAACGGGACCGATATGCTAGTGGGGTAAAACGCCTTATGTGATGACTTGGGATAAAGTGATCTAAGACGTTAAATAGAAAACACAAGCCTGACTTTCAGAAAAACGTAATTGACGCGGTCAGATCAGAAGGTTCTTCGATGTTGATACCGCTTCACTATTTCTTACGAATTATTATCATCTGAGGTGATGGGTTGGGGTAAAGCAGCCCGGATATCATATCGTTTGTATACTTAACAATGAGAGAAGTTGTTCACAGGCTTAGTGGAAATGTGAGCGAAAAATAGGATAAAATAGGGTCTTGCAGTACGCCTTGTGATGAAGGCAACAGTAGGTGTGCGACCCTTGAAGCGTGTGGCCTGCTGACGGTTAGAGAAATAAATTGCTGAGATTTCAATCGTCGAATGTTGAATGACGCCGGAAGATCGTATTTCGAATATTCACCTATCCATCGTGTGGAAGGTATCACTGTAATCTGGAAAAAATGTGCGGACAGCCTTGCGTTCCTTATCATGGTTGGATAAACGGAGTGTTAGATATAGGCAAGTGCATCCGGTGTACCTACAGAATGCGTGTAAGTAAACTGCTTTGGGTCTCTGACACTGAACTTAGTGGATTGTTTTAATAAGGAGCCTCTCAATCAGCTGAAGTGAGGGAAATGGATCGTGGCGGATAAATTTTTTTTTCTGAGGGACAACAACCGTAACTAAAGTTGTGGTAACTTGTTAGTTGGTCACAAAAACGGGAGATTTGGAATCGGTCGGAGTGACTGTACACGACCATTAGCCTCGTGAGGCTTTCTGGAAACGGCCCCACAAATGTCGCAAGTTGGCAAGTAACAACCAAGTCTTTACGCGTGGCGACACTTCATCTGTGATGCGTGCGCCGGGTGGGATATAGCTGCCCTGATAGGAAACTGTGTTTACTACCTTTATTACTCCTTCAGTTGCTATGAGTTGGGGAGCTGGACCAGACCAGCCCTGTTCTGTAGCGACATTATTACACTTCGAATGCGCAAAACGTAAAAATCTTTCGAATATGTTTATAGGCTGTGTGGGCGTGTTACCTCCCGGTATTCCAGATCGAGGGGCGGGGAATACCTCAGGATTCCCACCCGGAAACTTTGGTTAAGAAGCCATACATGCAAACCNGATCTGCAGTCCATTGGAGGCCAGTGCCCAGTTCGTCGGCTCATACGACCTTAGCACGGAGTGAGACGTGCCCAAGCGCCTCAATACCCAATGCAGCCGGTGACCACGACCAGGAAGCTCTGCGCGAGTGTTTCGTACGCCTTTTGTTGTTTGGTTTGGAACCAGGGTTTTTAGCCATCTCCCGTAAGTGAACTGCCAGTGGTTCCTCGACTAGNGGTTATAGCCCCGGATAGTGGCTTTTGGTCATCTCAGTTCGGTGGTAAAACACCACGAGAAAGGAGTGAGTAGGCTTCCTCTTCGGAAGCTTGGCCATATAGAAGCATTTCGCGAGCTGCAAGGGAAAGGTGACCAGTCACATCCCAAGACACCCACTTCCAACCAAACTGAGGCCTTATCACGAATGTGTAGTAAAAGAATCACCCACTGTCCTCATTAAAAGAAGTTCACGAAGGAATGGAAAGTAAAACTGGAAGCTTTTTAAATTACACATCAGTGTGATGAACAGCAGAGAGATGAACCCTATAGCCACAAAAACTTGCCTTTCAGTTATGGAAACCGTTAACCCGGGACTTGCAATGGTGGACCACTTTCGGCCGCGCCAAATCAGGCAGGGTACTGAACTGAACGACAGCGAAAATACCTGGTACCAAAGTTGGGTAGTGGGGCTTGAAACTCGGTCCGTAAGGTCCAAAGCGTGGGTTTGCAGTATGCAAACAGCATGCAATTCGTTTGCTATCTTATCCCTGTTGACAGGTGCTCGCGCTATATGGAATAAAATTCTCTGAGCAAACTAATGCGTGAGTAAGGTAATCGGAATTCGGAACGAAAAGTGACATCAGGACAAGTTGAATGGTTAAGAGTTATCAATAATCTTTGAAGTTAGTCTTCGAACGAGGTCTTGAAAGAGTCAAAACCCCTCGGTTAGAATATTGAGCAGAAGGCTAGAGATGTGAGTTCCTCAAGTGTTGTGGAAAGTAGAAGTGTTAGGATTTGAGAGCGCAACAGTGCGAAACTTCATGATAAAGACTATGAGTGAACCTTGCAAAGCCAAACGTTCACGAAATTGGGTGAAGTTGAAGTCATCCCACAAAAAGCCATCTCATCCGCGTGTCGGAAAAGGTGATTATTTGCTACCAATCGAGGCGCCGGTAATAATTCCGAAAAAGAAACGGATATAGAGCGTCCCCTTGGAGAGCACCTGTGACGGTTGTTATTTGCGGTTCCCTTAAGTATACTTCTTGCGCTTTGTTCTCCGCGGAAAATAATCTGCTTACCATGCTAAAAATTTCGTTGAACCACTAAAATATTCCTATTCAGCAAACAGAGGAGATTGACGGGCTTAAACAGAAACGGTTGGTTGGTCAATGTGGCGCATCAGATTTCGTTCTCTTCCTTTTTCTCTAGCTTTGTGATAAGTATCCAGAGTATGATGCACGGCCGGGAACCTGGTTTTGTGTGACATTTTTCAAGCGGTCAACATTATCTGAACAACGACGCGGTTCAAACCCTAATCCCATCTTTATTTGTTTTTCCGTCGACAGCCTTTAAGTGACCATATCCCTCTTTCCAGAAAATGGACCGCGTATTTCTTTATTGAATAAAATGTAAAAGGAGGTAAAGGATAAAGAGTTAACGGAATCTCTTCGATTCAGTTCTTTGCTGCCAGGTGGCTGCTCCGCAGATGCAGAGTTTGTACAGAGATCGTGAAATTAGATGGAATGAACAAGCAAGGGACGAAAATTTTGAGTACATCGAGGGGTAGTTGAAAAAGACTTCCTATGAGTCACTGGCAGACGTCAAGGTTAGAAGTGTTCTGGTGTGAAAACTGGTATTCTTCGAATAAAAACGGTCTGTCACATGTTAAGGATAGATGATCACGATTACGTTGAAAGAATTGCTTCTGTGCTCCAGGCCGATTTCAGAAATGACAATGAACCATTAGTGAATTATGTTGAGCATACTCAAAAGTAATCCTGACGCCTCGTAAAATCCTGCCATCAGTTCGAGAAAATTGCACTCGTTGATCGTATTTAAGACAAATGAAACTTCATTCCATCACTTTTTGTT